GCCCCCCAGAGACGGAGGCAGCGGAGACTTTCCACAGACTCGGCGGACGACCACATGAGTAAACCAAACAGCACAATGCCCCCCTAGGGGCTGGGGAGTCGGGGATACTCGCCAAAGGATCTGACACGTCGCTTGTCCGATGGGTGGGCTTGTGGAGCACGATCAACGGAGAGGAAGCATGTTGCCAAATCATTTCCAGATGTCTAAAGCATGTGTCAAACATGTTTTAAACGTGTAGAAATTGTTCAACACATGTTTAGAACACTTTTCGTACATGTTGAATACTTTTTAACTCAATGATAGGACTGTTAGGGTGTCCATTGTCCTGGCATCAACAACGTTGGGCCCGCGAACCTCTGCACTCGCCAAAGGGTCTGACACGTCGCTCGTCCGTTGAGCAGGCGAATTTCCACTGGTCAGAATTTTACTTCCGCTGGCTTCTGCGGCCCATCCGCATTCTTCCGCATAGAGCGAGAAGTGTGCTGGATTCTTTCAGGTGAGTCCATTGTTTTTTTGGGGGGGAGGGGCGTTGCAAGTACCCCGAGGCCTTCCCTCCTACCCCTCCCTCATCCCCAACCCTTCTTCGCCGAACGGCTGGGATTTTAGATGGGGGAGAGCATCGATCCTTACATCATCGCCCGTTCGTCGGAGATCAGGGTTTGGGTGCTCCACCCGGCCCAGGGTCGCGCTGAGCTGTTTTCGGGGGATCCATCGGCGATTCTAAGCCGATATTTCCACCGTGAGCTAGCCCCCCCATTCGGCTCTCCTCAGAGGGGCGAGGAGGTTTCCTGGAGGCCCCCGAAGGCGTTCAGAGGTCGAAGCGAGTGAACATATTTTTGTTCGACGGAAGGGTCCCGTATGATAATCTTCTTAGTGATCATGAGAGTCATCATCATCGGCGACTAACGATGGTGATGACGCCAGGGTGCCACGACACCAGGATGCGACCAGCGAGGCCGTTGAGACCCGTGGGGCCCGTGTAGCTTTTACGACCTGCAGGGCTTGTGGGACCTGTGGGACCTGTGCGACCTGCGGGGCCTGTGCGACATGCGGGGTCTGTGGGACCCGTGAGACCCGTGGGGACCCTCGGAGACTGGCGGGCCCAGTGGGACCCGTGGGGCCGGTGGGGCCCCTGGAACTTGCGAGACCTGTGGGACCTCCGAGCCCTGCGGGGCCAGCGGGGCTTGTGGCGCTCGTGGGACCCGTGGGGCCCGTGGCACCCGTGGGACCTGTGACACCAGGGCGCCCCGTGGGACTGGTGGGACCTGCGGGGCTCGTGGCCTGGGAGGCCCGTGGGGCCTGCGGCACCTGGGCCCCTGAGAGTCGCGTTCGGCCTGTTGGACTGGTGGGACCTGTGTACTCTGTACGCCCCTGGCTCCCGCTCGAGACTTCCTCGCCATTCACCCACGGACGAGGCCCCCGCTCGAGACGTCCTCGCGATTTGCCCTTTGGGGTGCTCGAGTGGTATGCTTGCTACAGCAGGCCGAGGACCCGCTGGGGTGCAACACGTGAGGCTCAGGAGGGGAAAAAACACAGACACAATGACTCGTCGCTTCCCGGGAAGATATGGGAAACTATGGGAAGTGGGGGGGAAGGCAAACACCCAGAACAGATGGGAAGCTATATGGGGAATCCTGTTATCTGTGTCTACTTATTTGCGTGTGTCCCAGGGCCCCCTCAGAGGCGGGGGGCCCGTCACGGGAGAGGGCTCCGGCTCGGGGCGGCCCCGCGAGGCACTCGCAAAGTGAGGCCCCCGCTCGAGCCGTCCTCGCGATGTGCTTCCTCGGGGTGCCATTTGGGTGCTCCAGCGATCTGCCTGCGAGGAGGAGGAGGAGGAGGAGGAGGAGGGAGAAGAGGAGGAGGAGGAGGAGGAGGAGGAGGAGGAGGAGGAGGAGGAGGAGAGGGACAAGGAGGCAGAGGAGGAGGAGGAGGAGGAGGAGGAGGAGGAGGAGCCAAGATATACCCAAGATGCTGCGAAGCACCGTCCCGCCCCCAGTCCACCCACGCGTTCCCACGAGCCTCCCACTGTCCCGATGACCCGCTGGGAGTAGCACCATATCCTGGGGCCCTCTTGGGCCTTCCGGGGGCTTTCTTAGGGGGCCTCTGGTGTCGCCTTGAGGCGATCTTCGGGGCCTCTTGGGCCGTCTTGGACGCTGTTCGAGCCAAACAGCGAATGTGCTACACATATACGTTCCCCTTCGAAGGAATGGGACGAGGTTTGCTTCTTGGGGGTTTGTCTTTGGGGGCCTCTCGGGCCATCTTGGGGGCCTCTTAGGCCATTTCGCGACCGTCTTGGACCGTCTGGAGGCCCTCTGGGCTCTCTCGGAAGCGTCCTGGACGCCATCTTGGGCCGTTCTGGGCCTCGTTGGGGCTTCCTGAGGCCGTCCGCGTCGCCCGAAGCCGCACCCGCAAGACTTCCGGCGGCTTCTGCAGGCGCTTCCGCCTGCTCCCCCCCGCCGACCCCTTGGGGAGGGGGGACACCCAACGGGAACCCCTCCGCAAGGTCGGGGGAATACAGGGCCCCGAGCTCTACTCTAGAACAAAACGTCAGCCAACGAGGTAGCCAACGAGGTGGCAGACCACGCAGGCAGACAGGCAGCCACCAGGCAGCCTGGAAAGTAGCCAACAAGGCGGCAACGCACAGCAGCCAACGAAGCAGCCAACAGGGCAGCCAACGACGCGCCCGCAGAACCAGCCAACAAGGCGGCCAGCGAGGCACCCAATGAGGCAGCCGACCACACAGGCACCCGGGCAGCTACCGTGCAGCCCGCAAGGCTAAGGACGAGGCGGCAAGCACAGCAGCTAGCGAGGCGGCCAACAGGCCAGCAAACGCGGCAGCCAACGAAGCACCCAACGAGGCAGCCAACGAGGCAGCCGACCACGCAGGCTGTCAGGCAGCCACCAGGCAGCCAGCGAGGCAGCGAACTAGGCGGCGAACACAGCAGCAAACACAACATCCAACGAGGCAGCCAACAGGGCAGCCAACGACATGCCCGCGAGGCCAGCCAACAAGGCGGCCAGCGAAACACCCGACGAGGTAGCCAACGAGGTTGCCGACCACATGAACATGCAGTCGGGCAGCTACCATGCAGCTCGCAAGGCAGAGAACGAGGCTGCAAGCACAGCAGCCAACGAGACAGCCAACGCGGCAGCCAACGAATCACCCAATGATGCAGCCAACGAGGCAGCCGACCACGCAGGCAGTCTGGCAGCAACCAGGCAGCCGGCAAGGCAGCGAAGGAGGTCCGCTAAAGCCTCATGCACAGACAAAAAGGGTGGCTTCAGGCAGGCTCAATGAGGCAGCCAACCGGGCAGGCAACGAGGCAAGGCAGCCGCTGAGGCAGTCGACGAGACAGCCAGACAGGCAGCCCGCTAGGCAGCAGGCTTAGCAACCACAGCCGATTACAAGGCAGCCATCAAGGCAGCCCGCGGAGGGCCCCGAACGGCAGCTCGCAAGGCCCTGCCAGCGAAGCCAGAAGAGCTGTGTCCGACGAGGCAGCTGCACGAGGGGCATCCGAACATGGATGCCCCTCTCCTCTCTCGCCCGTGCGGGTGGGCGTCGCGGAATTCGCCGCTGGCTACGCCTCGGCCCTCTGGCCATGGGGCTCCGCCCCAACCAGCACGTCGCGCGCGGCAGCTCCCTCGTCTCAAATGTAGCGTGCCGCGCGGGCGGCCCGCCGAAGCCGCGGCGTAAGGTCGCTGTGCCATCTCGCGCACGACCCGCTTTTGATTGCCGCTCAAGTGTGCAAGAGAGGAACAAACACATAACATCATTCAAGGGCATAAAAAAAACGCCCCTGCCCTGGTTTACGAGGCGCTGTGCGCTGAACCTCCTGTGGGCTGACAGGGGAAACCCTGCGTGACGTGCCGCGTCGTAGCGGCTCTAGGCTCTGGGGATTCCCAGGAGGTTTACAGACCATGCACTTGTAACCCAGGGTAGGGCCGTTTTTTCACCCCTCAAATCATCTGTGATGGGGGTCGGGACGCCGCGCCCCGCCGCAGGACGTCGCCGACATGCTCACGAAGCTGGCCGAGGCGGTGCGTTCTGCCCGCCCGGGCCGCCCTCGCCGCGCCGCCTCTCGGCTTCGGCGGACCGTCGTCCGCGGCGGGCGGCAAGCGGCAAGGGCGACGGCGTCGGAGAGGAGGGAGAGGTGCTCCTGGCATCGCTCGGACGTGTGCGTTTTTTCCTCGGCGAGGACCATCGAGGAGCATCCTTGATCATTTGGCGAAAAAACACGCACGAAACCGAAAAAACACAGGGAATGGACGTCCGAGCGATGGCGAGTGCTCCGCGCTGTCGTCACAAGAGGGAAAGGGGCCACGGCCCGCCCGGACGGGCTGCTTCATACCCCCTCGGACCAGCCGTGGGAGGGGCCGGCTTGTGCCCTGACCCCCCTCCCCCTGGGACCCTCCACGGCAGCTCAAATCAGACCCCCCCCCGAACTCAGACTGACTCCCTCCTGTCTGGTATGAAACCTGGAGTGCCGATGCCGCTGCCCATGGCTCGTTTTCGTCTTTTGGGGCCTCCTGGGATGCCCTCGTCGCCACGGCTGGATCCGCCTCGGAATTCTGGTCAGCACACGCACCCAGGGGGAGGTCCGCGGAGCAGCGGTATGTCCCCTCACAGTGATGATTCAACCGGCGTTTTTTCCTAGATCTCGGCCTCTTGGGACCGTTACCTGGCCCCGGAAATAGGAAATCACGTGGGCGTCGAATCATGGGTGGCGATAGTGGGGGGGCAGCGAGGGCTGCAGAAAAGGAACCCTTTCGAGCCTGTGAGGGGGCTCTTTGAGGCCCCAACGGGGGCCTCCAGTGACCGAAAAATGCACCTTCCTTCCCCTCCCCAGGCATCGCCCCCCCTCCAAGAAAGCGACGCCCAAAAACACATCCTGGGCGAACAGAGGTCTGCGGCCGCGGGCGGCGCCACAGAAGCGTATCGCGTGGGCTGCCAGAGACTACACCGCACTCACTTCTATAGCCCCGTGTGTGTGTGTGTGTGTGCGGCCGTTTTTGCGCGGGCATGTGCGCAGTATGTGCCAGGCATGTGCCCGGCATGTGCGGGCGCTTTTGGACGAGTGTCCTACTGTGCGCACGTGCCTTGGCATGTGCAGGGTTATGTGCATTGGGTTTTGCTGCATGTATTGTAACGCACATGCCCGCGCATGCCGACGCACATGCCCGCACGTGCCCGCACATGCGGAACTTGTGCGAACGTCGCAGATCGGTCACAGGCACATGCACGCACATGCGCTGAATCCCGCGCCCGCACATGCTCGCACATGCCGATGCACATGCACGGACATGCCCGCACACGCAGAACATGTGCGGAACTCGCATATCGGTCAGTGGCACATGCACGCACTCGGCTGTGTCCCCCCCCTGCGGACGTCAGCGCGTGCCCGAACATGCAAGCACATGCGCTGAGTCCCGCGCCCGCACATGCTCGCACATGCCGATGCACATGCACGCACATGCAGTCTCGGAATTTTCAGGGCTTCCTACTACAAGGGCCTTCAGCGCTTCGTGACCTTCGGGGCCTGGGGGGGGGTCCTAAAATTTCCCGCAGCAATCAGGCTCTGGCCTCGGAGATGCCGTGCCTTACTGTGGTGAGGAGGCCATTTTGGCTTGAAGCATTCTCGCAACGCTGACTTCCGAGATGCCGTGTCACATGGTGGTCTGGCTATTGTCGCGTGAAACATCCTCGCAATTCTGAGTTCGAGATGCCTTGCGCTGAGGTGGCCAGGCCATTGTCGCCTGAGACATCCTCGCAACTCTGGCTTCAGAGATGCCCTGAGCTCAAATGGTCCATCCACCTCCGCCTGAGACTTCCTCGCAACGCTGTGTTGCAAGATGCCCTGACCTGCGGCCACGTTGGCAGTGTGGTCTGAACTCTGGTTTCCGAGATACCTTGAGCAGGTGGTCAGGTCACTTTTGCCAGATACATCCGCAATTCTAACCTCAGAGATGCCCTGCGCTGAGGTGTCAGGCCACTGTCGCCTGCGACATCCTCGCAACTCTGGGTTCAGAGATGCCCTGTTGTTCATCCGCTTTCGCTTGAGACATCGTCGTAGCTCTGGTTTCCGAGATGCCCTGCGCAGGTGGTCAGGCCACCCTCGCAAGAAACATCCTCGCAACTCTGACGTCGGATATGCCCTGACCTGCGGTGGTCAGGTCACTCTGGCCTGAGACATCCTCGCAAGTCTTACCTCGGATATGCCCTGCCATATGGTGATCCAGCTGCTTTCGCCTGAGACATCCGCGCAACTCTGGGTTCTGAAATTCCTTGAGCCCAAATGGTAAGGCCACTGTCGCTTGAAACATCCTCGCAATGCTGACCTCGGATATGCCCCTACACGAGGTGCCAACAGTCCTTGCAGGCCTCGATCTGCGTGAGGGCTGTGCCGAAGGAGGCGCCGAGAGTTTTCTGGGGGCGTGCTGTCCTATGGGACGCCTCGCTGTCTCACGAAACGCTTCATGTTTAGTTTGAATGCGAGCTTGGTGTCCGTTAGGGTCGTCGCTTGCCTGGCCCGGCCTGCGCAAATGTTGTGCGTGGTTGTGCGAGGCATCTGCGGAACGTGCAACGAAGCTGGGGCCAGCCAGGCCAGGGGTGGTTTGGCAGGATTCCGAGATGCCCTGAGCTCAGGTGCTCCATCCATTTTCGCCTGCGGCATCCCCGCAACTCTGACCTCGGAGATGCCCTTCCCCATGATGGTCTGGGATTTCCTGAATTCAGGTGGTCACGTCATTTTCACCTTCAACATTATCGCAACTCCGTTTGACCAGAGATGCCCTGCCACATGGTGGTCTGGCCAATTTCGCCTGCGACATCCTCGCAGCTCTGGTTTCCGAGATGCCCTGCGCTGAGGTGGTCAGGCCGCTTTCGCCAGAGACATCCTCGCAGCTCTGGGTTCCGAGAAGCCCATGCCGCCTGCGACATGCCCGCAACTCTGACCTCGGAGATGCCCTGCCCCATGATGGTCCAGCCACTTTCGCCTGAGACATCCTCGCAACGGTTCCGAGATGCCCTGAGGAGGTGTGCAGGCTACTTTCGCCGGAGACGTCCTCGCAATTGTGGCATCGGATATGCTCTGAGCTGAGGTGGTCAGGCCACTGTCGCCTGAGACATCCCCACAACTAGGACCTCGGTGACGCCCTTGCCCATGATGGTCTGGCCACCTTCGCCCGAGACATCCTCGCACCTCTGGGTTCCGAGATGCCCTGCGCTGAGGTGGTCAGGCTGCTGTCGCCTGAGACAATTCCGCAACTTTGGCCTCGGAGATGCCCTGAGCTCAGGTGGTCCATCCACTTTCGCCTGCGGCATCCCCGCAACTCTGACCTCCGAGATGCCCTGCCCTATGGTGGTCTGGCCAATTTCGCCTGAGACATCCTCATAACTCTGGGTTCCGAGATGCCTTGCGCTCAGGATGTCAGGCCCTTTTCACCTGAGACTTCCTCGCGTGATCTACATTACCAGAGCGCTGACCCCATCCTTGTGTTGGATTGGTGTGAGTGCCAGCCGCATAAGCTTCCTTCGTTCCCATCGCTTCTCCCCTCATTCCTCTTTCCTGCTCATTTGTCTCTCCCTCCTCCGTTGTTTCGACTCTGCGGCATGTGCGCGCATGTGCGTTTTCTGTCTTCAGAGTTTTGCCAGACTGTGCATCCGACTGTGCATCGGACTGTGCGGCATGTGCGCGCATGTGCGGCAGTGCTGTTGAGGCTTTTGTGGAGTTGCCTGGGCATGTGCATTCGACTGTGCGGTATGTGCCTGCATGTGCGGCCCCTTCTGGACTTCACTTTAAATATGAGCACTATACAAATGAGTCCGGTGTACGTCCCCGGGGGGGCATGGGCTGTCAGCGCTTCGTCCCCGGGTTGGAGAGGCCGTCGTTTTCGCAGATTCCATCCGACTCGTCGCCCTTCTTCTCCTCGCTGTTGTGACAGTTGTTTTCATTCCCTCCTCCTATCTCCTTTCCTTCTTCTCTACATCTTCCCTGTCATCCTCATGTCTCTCCTCGCTCCTTCTCTTTTTCCTCCACCCCCTTTTACCCTCCCGGCTCCATCCCGTGTCTCTTTTTCGTCTCCCTCGGCACCAGGCGGTGGAGGACGTTCTGCAGAATCAGCCCACGCTGACACAGGAGGGTGCAGGGAGCGAGGGGGTGAGAACCCGATCGTGTTTTTGTTTTTGTTGCTTGTGTGTTTGTGTCAACGGCATCCGCAACCGTTAGGCGCCTTATAAAGACCAGGCGCGCTCGGCGTGGCGCACCTGGCCCCTGCAGCGCGGAGGCATTGCCGTCGGTGGGCCACACATTGACCCTTACCAGTACCCCGCTGCCTGACCTGTCAGAGTTTCTTGAGTTCATATGTTAGCCATGCGGAAAGCGATCAATGGAGAGGAGACATGTTGCCAACGAATTCCCAGATCTCTATAGCACGTTTAAGCTATGTTCCCAAAGTGCCAACACAGGGTTTACACATTCTTCGGAAATGCATAGGGCACGTAGAAGACATTGAATATACATTGATAACTAGTTCCATTATAGAATGTTAGAGTGTCCATTGTCATGACATACTTAATTTTGGCCAGTGTGGATACCAAGCAGTGGTGTCTAGCATGCTCTGTGATGCATTGTACGTGGTGCAAGCTATGTGGTGCAAGCTATGCGGTGTAAGCTATGTGGTGTAAGCTGCGTGGTGCAAGCTATGTGGTGCAATTAATCTTGACCGTCTTGAAGCTATCCTCTCCACTGCTCGTGCAAACATCCCACCCTCCCACCCGCAACTTGGTCGCAAAACCTCTTCAGACAAGACCGTGACGGTAGGTACCACATGTCACTTGGCCACGACACCGACGCCGACGACGACAGCGACATCGACGACGACGGCGTCGCCGACACCGACTGCGACGACACCGACGACGTCCCCAATGTTTTCGACGACAACGACGACGACGACACCGACGACGACGACGACAAAGACGCCGACGACGACGACGAAGACGACGACGACGTCGCCAACGGAGACGACGACGAGGGAGGAGAAAAAACGACGACGGCGACAACGACGACAACGACGATGGAGGAGGGAAGGACGGCGACGACGCCAACGACGAAGAAGGAGGAAGGACGGCGACGCCGACGACGACAACGACGAGGGAGGAGGGAAGACGACGACGACGACAACGACGACGAAGACGACGACGACGGCGACGAAATAGGAGGGACGACGACGAGACGCCGACGACGGACGACGACGACGAGGGAGGAGGATAACGACGAGGGAGGAGTGAAGACCACGACGACGACGACGACGACGACGACGGCGACGAAATAGGAGGGACAACGACGAGACGCCGACGAAGACAACGAGGGAGGAAGGACGACCACGGCGACAACGACGACGGAACGACGACGACGCCAAGACGACGACGACGACGACCACGACGAGGAAAGACGACGACGACGACGACGACGACGACGAGGGAGGAGGGAGGACGATGACGACGACGACGACGCAAGAGCGCGCGCGCACACTTTTGTTGAAAACCCGTGTTGCGAAACCTTGTGTTTTTGTAGGTTTTTTGGACGCACGATTTCGAAATCCTTCCGAAACCGGAGGTTTTTGTTTTGAAGGATTTCGGCATATGCCCGCGACGACGCGCGCGTCTGCACTTCGTCCCATTTTTTGCAGAGGATTCTCGCGACGGCACACGCGCAAGGACGCTCGACAGATTTCGACATGCGCGCGCGCGCGAAGCCCGTTTGGTAGCATTTTGCGAAACTCCTGGAAAACCTATGGTTTTCTTAGATTTTGCAAGAGTTCGCGCGTAAGCTTTTTTAGCAAATCAGTGTTGCGAAACCATATGTTTTTGTATGTTTTTTGGGAATTCAATTTTGAAATCCTTCCGGCACCGAAGGTTTTTCAAGGATTTCGGCATGCGCGCGCGACGACGCGCGCGTGTGCACTTCGTCCGATTTTTTGCAAGGGATTAGCGAAAAAGTGTTATGTTAGAGCGAAAAATGTCACCGCATAGTGTTTTTTACAAGGGAACCGCAGGGGGGGGGGGATACCGGCTTGGCTGGGATGGTATGAAATCATATTTAAGATGGACATGTGGTCAGAATCATATGTGATTTACAGCACGCGCGGGCGACCCGATAAGTCCGGAGGGGGGGGGTAGAATTTTTTACTCTCTTAGAAAGGAGATTCCATTCTGCGGAACTTGAAGTCGTCATCTCCAGTGCTCGCGCAAACATCCCACCCACCCACCCGCAACTTGGTTTGCAAAACCTGTTAAGACCGACTACGACGACAACGACTAGGACGACACCGACGACGTCTCCGACGACTTCGACGACGACAGCGACGCCGACGCCAACGACGACGAAGACGACGACGACGACGCCAACGAAGGCGACGACGAGGAAGGAGGAAGGACGACGACGGCGACAACGACGACAACGACGAAGGAGGAAGGAAGACGGTGACGACGCGAACGACGACGAAGGAGGAAGGACGGCGACGCCGACGACGACAACGACGAGGGAGGAGGGAAGACGACGACGACAACGACGACGACGACGGCGACGACATAGGAGGGACGACGATGAGACGCCGACGACGGACGACGACGACGACGTGGGAGGAGGAGGAAGGACGACCACGGCGACAACGACGATGGAAACGACCACGACGCCAAAGAGGACGACGACGACAAACAGGAGAAAAGACAGGACGACGTAGGCGACGACGACGACGACGCGGGAGGAGGGAGGACGGCGACGACGACGACGACGACGCAAGAGCGCGCGCGCACGCTTTTGTTGAAATTCCGTGTTGCGAAACCTTGTGTTCTTGTAGGATTTTTGGACGCACGATTTTGAAATCCTTCCGAAACCGATGGGTTTTGAAGGTTTTCGGCATACGTCCGCGACGACGCGCGCGTCTGCACTTCGTCCCTCTTTTTTGCAGAGGATCCTCGCGACGGCACACGCGCAAGGGCGTTCGACAGATTTCGACATGCGCGCGCGAAGCCCGTGTGGTAGCATTTTGTGAAAATCTTGAAAAACCTATGGTTTTTCTTAAGATTTCGCAAGAGCTCGCGCGGAAGCTTTTTTAGCAAATCAGTGTTGCGAAACCATGTGTTTTGTATGTTTTTCGGAAACTCGATTGCGAAATCCTTCCGGCACCGAAGGTTTTTCAAGGATTTCGGCATGCGCGCGCGACGACGCGCGCGTGTGCACTTCGTTCCGTTTGTTGCAAGGGATTCGTGAAAAAATACTATGTTAGAAAGAAAAATGTCCCCGCATAGTGTTATTTGACAGGGAACCGCAGGGGGGGGATACCGGCTTGGCTGGGATGGTACGAATTCATATTTAGGATGGACATGTGGTCAGAATCATATGTGATTTTCAGCACGCGCGGGGGGCCCGATAAGTCCGGGGGGGGGGGGGTAGAATCTATCATTTTCTTAGAAAGGAGAATTGACTACCCTGCACCGCGCCTGACCACCCGCAACTCGTTTGGCAAACTCATGATGCGGGGGACGGCGGCGCCACCGATGACGACATCGATGAGAACATCCTCACTGCCGATGCGACGATATTCGGACTTGCGCGATGACAAGATGACGTCGGCAACGTCTGCGACAATGACGAAGATGGCACCAGCGACGGCGATGTTCAAGAGGGCGACGGCACGAACGATAACGGTGCCAATGATGGCAAACACGTTGACGATCTACGTGGTGAATCTATGTCATGCGATGTACGGGATGCGAGCTACGTCGTGCACTCTTTAGTGTCTAATCCATGCGGTGTAAGTTGGGATGTGTAATCCAAGTGGTGCAACCTACGCTGTGCAATCTATGTGGTGTGACCTATGTGGTGATAGCTTGATAGCTATGTAGCATGGCGCGAGCAATGGTCTGTGAGCTCTGCGGTGGAAGTTATGGGACGCAACACACGTGGCGCAATCTATGCGGCGCAAGCTACGTTGAGCGCGGCGACGGGGCGACGACCATCTCGAACCCCGGGAGTTTCTCTCCAGGGACATCCCTCCCCATCTCATTATCGGCAACGCAGTGGCTGACGTTATGGCTGGTCAAAGGGGGCCTTCGCGGGTCGAGTGCCAGAGGCCCAGACAGGGGGGGTTGAGAGAGCGTAGAGGATTGACTAACGAGGGCGACTCTGGATACAATGGCTGGTGATGGTGCGTCTGAGAACCGTGGCCAGGAAGGTGCTTTCAGTGTCCTTGCGTATCCGCCTCCTCTTCTTGCTCTTCTTCCGCCTCCTCCTCAACCTCCACCTCCCCAGGCTGTCGCCATGTCTAGTTCAACCCGCACCTTCGGAAAAGAGGGTTTGATGCGTGTTCGGCGTTTGGCTTCTCCGCGCAGACGCGCCGCACCCTGTGGTTCGCCACGATTTCTGTTCTGCCAGTGTCGATTTCGAGCGAGCTCTCCAGGCCTCTGACAGGGGGGGAGGTTCACTTGGCCTAAGGGTAAGTGCGTGAGTCGCATGTGCAGGCGCACTCGAGTGTTGCAGGCGCGCGGGTGTTTTGTAACTGCAGGCGCTTCGGTCAGGATCAGAGTCTATTTGGTGCACGAGTGCAAGCCTGACAATACCACACAGAAGAGACGGGAGTAGTTTTACAAACTTGCGAGGGGTCGCAGGCGCAACGTTTCATAGTTGGTTTTCCTCGGTGAGCAACATGTTCGCACTTGGGCGGCCACGTGATGCTCTGCCGGTCTGTTATTTGATGTTGTTTCGCAACTGTTCCGAATCCGGATCCGACGTTCCTCCTCCTGCTCCACCTGTCCCCCTCCCCCTCTCACCTCTCCTCATTCTCTTGCCTCCCACCCATTACCCTCATCATTTTCCCTACCGTGCCCTCCCTCGTCATCCCCCTCCCGCCTCGCCCCCATCATTCTGTGCGCCCGCCTTCCCCATCCCTAGTGACTAGTGACCCTCCACCCCCCTTCACCGTCAACCTCACCCACTCATCCCCCTCTCACCCTCACCCTCGCCTCCCCCCCCCCCGTCACCCTCATCCCCTTCCTGCCTGTGCGTGGTTTTCATCCTTCCCTTTCTTCCTCACCCTCACCATCCCATGCGTTTTCTCTGCCCGTCCCCAGTGCACATTCCCCCCCCTCCTGTGTACTCCCCCAGCCCCCGCCGCCGCTCCCCCTCGGCGTCGCCCCCCTCCCCCCTGCGCATCCTGCGGGCGTGCGGGCAGGCCCCAGTGCCGTGCAAGATCTTCGGTGACACCCACGGGCAGGACCCTGACTCTTTCGCAGGGAGGAGGAGGAGGAGGAGGAGGAGGAGGAGGAGGAGGTTGAGGAGGAGGAAAAGGAGGAAGAGGAGGAGGAGGAGGCGGAGGAGGAGGAGGGAAAGGGAGGAGGAGGAGGAGGAGAGGAGAGGAGGAGGAGGAGGAGGACGAGGAGGAGGAGGAAAAGGAGGAGGCGGAGGCGGAGGCGGAGGTGGAGGCGAAGGCGAAGGCGAAGGCGGAGGCGGAGGCGGAGGCGGAGGAGGAGGAGGAGGAGACGGAGTAGGAGGAAGAAGAAACTAATACGAATCATCCGACGAATAATAATAGTAATGCTGAGAAAAAGAAGGCAGACTCATATCAATAATATTAGCAAAGAAATGCCAGCAATACATCTGATAAGGATTCCAATGCTAAAAACAATACTCGGAGGAGGAGGAAGAAGAGGAGAGGGAGGAAGAGGAGGAGTGGGAGGAGGAGGAGGAGGAGGAGGAGGAGGAGGAGGAGGAGGAGGGAGGAGGAGGAGGAGGAGGAGGAGAGGAGGAGGTAGGAGGAGGAGGAGGGGAGGGCGGGAGGGAGGGACGACTTGTCGACCCCAGGCTGGGATCGCCTGCCCCCCCTCCCCCTGGGCGCCCAGCTGCGCGACGTGTTGCTCCTCTTCCACCACTTCGGCCTGCCTGGCACCGCCGACTGCCCCGCGGCGGTCTTCAACGGCGACTTTGTGGACCGGGGCCACCACCAGGCGGGCACCGCCTCGCCCGCCCCGTCCGTCCCCTCCCTCCCCGCCGCCCCCTCCACTCCCTGCCTCCCCAGCGCCCTCCTCCTCCCTCTCCCGCCTCTCCTCCCTCCCCTTCCCCGTCCTCCCTCCCCATACCCCCTCCGCCTTCGCCCCTCCTCCTTCGCCTGCTTCGCCTCCTTCGCCTCCGTCCTCCCTCCCCCCCTGACTCGATGCCTACCCCAGATCCCACCGTCGCGCACCTATGTGGCGCCCATGTGCTCCGCCACGTCGAGGACCGGCGGGCGATGCGGAGTGCCCAGAAACCTGTCCCTGGGGCAAGGTCGAGAGCTCCTGGCACTGGCAGGCAGCGCCGTCCACTACACAAAAAGGAAATGATGATCAGCTCGTTGTGATACTTATTGCAGTCAAAACTCATAGCAAAGACGCACGCATGCCCTTAGGGTACCCTGGCGTCCTTGCCTCTGCAGCCCGTCCTTTGCGGTTTTCACTGGCCAGCCCTTCAGGGGGTTGGCAGTCCGCAGCCCCAAAAGTACCAACTTCGGCATTCAAGGCCCTAGTCCTCACCGCCGGTCCTTACTATCGGTTTCGACTGTATCATGCTCATCTGGTTTTGATTTCGGACATCATGGAACACCGATCAATTATTTTGTCCCAGAAAGCTCGCGCCGCCGACAGGCGGGTTCGGCGGTCCTGGGGGCGTGTCTTGTCTTCGTCGAAAAGCAAGAAAGGTGTAAACATACACTTTCGACGGCCCGCGCGGATTGGTTGGATCGGCGTTGGGGCACCCAGGCGGCGCCTCCAGCGCCGCCCCTGGTGATGGGTCCAGCACGGATCCAGGAAATCCGAGCAGACCGTCAAAAGCTTAGAATTATGTTGAAGTCGGGCTTGTCCCTCTACAGGGGGGATATTCCAAAATAGTCCAAAAATAGTCTGGGGACGATGTTTTGATTATCTTTTGACCATCTGGGGGTATTCTTGGAGTATGTTTCATTTTTCGCCCAAATTCCCTCTGTACAGTCAAAAACCCCAAAAAGGACGCGCGACTTTGCTCAGGGTACCCTTGCGTCCTTGCTCTTCCCTGCTCTTGCGTCCTTGAGGTTTTCGTCGTCCGCCGCCCCAAAAGTCCCAACTTCGGCTTCCAAGGGCATTGCGTCCTTGCCGCGCGTCCTTCTTGGGGTTTTTGACTGTAGGGGGACAGGCCCGACCTACTACCCTCGTCAAAATTAACCTCAAAAGTCTGACCGAAGTTGACTCGAAAGTTTGACGTCGACCGACATTGGAGGGGCGGCGCATGCAAGTACCCCGCACTCATCGATACTCGGCCCCAGATCTTCCGACAAGCAGTTCGACCACGTCAGACATTTTTGAGGTTAATTTTGACGAGGGTTGTAAGATTATGCTACGGTTTGTTCCTCGCCTGCGGCCTCCCAGGGCCCTCGCCAGGCCGTGCTCCAAGGGCCGAGCGGGGAGGAAGGGCTGGTTTCCGGGGCAGGCGAGAGGCCCAAGGAGGTCCCATCCGAAAAAAACACGGTGTCGGAGGTCTGTGGAGGAGGGAGGGAGGGAGGGAGGGAGGGAGGGAGGGAGGGAGTGGAGGAGGAGGAGAAGGAGGAGGAGGAAGAGGAGGAGTCGTCGTCGGTGTCGTCGTAGTCGTCGTCGGCGTCGTCGTCGTCGTCGTTGTCGCTGTCGTTGTCGGCGTCGGTGTCGTTGCCAAGTGCCGTGTGGTACCTGCCGTCACGGTCTCAAGAGGTCTTGCGCCCAAGTTGCGGGTGGGAGGGTGGGACGTTTGCACGAGCAGTGGAGAGGACAGCTTCAAGACAGTCGAAGTGAATTGCACCACATCGATTGCACCACGTCGATTGAACCACGTAGATCGCACCATACCTTGCAAAACAGATGTGTATATATATATATATATATATATGTATATATATATATATATATATCCCTGGGGGGCAGGCCAGGGGCCCACAAACAGCTGCCCCGACCCCCCAGGACGGGGTGGCCGGGGAGGTCCAAAATAGTCTAGGAGGGCCTCCAGAGGCTTCCCAGACGGCCCAAGCGGGCCCCGAGTCGCCGAAAGACCGCTCCAGGACGCCCAAGATAGGCCGAAGACGGCCCGAGAGGCCCCCCAAGGCACTCCACGACGTTTCAAGACGCTTCTCCAGAGCGCTTCAAGAGGCCGAAGTCGTCAAGTTTATAAGGTTTTGGAGAGATTTTGGCCTTCCAGTCTTTTCGGCTGTCCGACGTTCCAGGCCGGTTCCATAGGCCCCCAAGAGCGCCCCAAGACGGCCCAAGAGGGCCCCCAGAAGGCCCCAGAGGCGCCCAAAAGATGCGCCCAAGAGGGGGGCTACGAGTCCAAAATTCGACCTTCCCGCTTGAAGAGTGCCTGGGGAGACCCCAAGGAGCCCCCAAGCGGGCCCAGGAGGCTCCCGAGAGGCACCCAGGAGGCCCAAATGAGGCCTCATGAGGCAACAAAACAGCCCCGAGGAGGCCCCACAACGGTCCCAAAACGGCTGCCGAGAAGCTGCGAAATTGCCTTCACGACGTCCCCGACAGGCCAACCACGAGGTCCAAACCAACACCCATGAGGCCTCTGACCCACCACCTAGGGCACCCGCCGCCCGCCCGCCGTCCGCGTAGCACGCACCACTCTGTACTCAACAGCTCCAGTCTCCAAGACAACACCCTGTAGTCAACAGCCCCCGTTTTCAAGGTAACACCCTGCACTCAACAAGCTCCCGCTGCAAGAGAGCACCCTCAAGACAATCATTCAAATCCCGACCCGCCCGCCCGCCCGCCCGCCGCCCGCCCGCCCGCCGACCGCCCGGCCGCTCGCCCGCCTTCCGCGTAGCACGCGCCACCTTGCAGTCAACAGCCTCCGCATCCAAACTTTGTGTCAGACATCAATGGTCATTGCGTGCATTCTCCTGTCTGGAAAGAAACTAGGTTCTACCCCCACCACCCCCACGGGAGTACCCCCCCCGTGGGGCACTGCGATTTACATACGATTCTGCCTCCTTGGTCATTTTACCCATGAACTCATCTCATCCCAACTTGTCCCGCTGTCAAGTAATACCATGCGGTGTACATGCGATGAGATGAATGCACGAACTTTGATGACGTGATACCATGCGGGCCACATGCGCACGCGCAGGACGATTTTTTTCCCGACGCCTTTGCTTTCGTGGCGGCGCCAGCGTAAACACATCAAAACCCCAATGGGTTTCCATCCAAAGGTTTTCAAGAGTTCATCCCGCGTGCTCTCGCGGATTTCCAGGAAGCCCAATGCTGTTTCAACTAACTTTCCTGTCCAAGGAGGCCTCCGCGCGCGCATGTCGAACATATTCCATTGCCCTCGCGCGCTTGCCATTGGCATGGTCCTTATCAAAAACTGCCATGTGGGGCACAGTCGGAAGCGCCGTGATCAATCTCATCCTCGTTTGTCGACGCTGTCGTCCACGCTGTCCCCCGCAAGATGAACTTTGGCCGCGCGACGAGCGTCCGCGCGCCAATGAACGCAATGAAATGATCGAAGGAGCTCCGCGCTGCAAGTATCATCGCGACCTTATTAGTTTTGCCAACCACCTCATCGTCGTTTGTCGACGCTGTCGTTCGCGCTGTCTCCCGCAAGACGGACGTTGCTCGCGCTGCGAGTGTCCGCGTGCCAGCGAGCTCGATGACATTTGCGGACGAGCTCCACCGTGCCACTGCGGTCGCGACTTTGTGAGTTCTGCCGGCCAGGCTGCGGGTGGGAGGGTGGGATGCTTGCACGAGCGTGGGAGGAGGCCACGCGCGGTGCAGCGTGGTCACCTCTCTTGTCTAACGAAGAAGATGGACTCGCCCCCCCTCGGAATTCACGGTGCACTTTTCCGTGATGCAGTGTACAAATGATTCTGCCCCATCGTGCATTCCACATATGAATTCGTAGAATCCAAGCCAAACCGGTATCGCCCCCCCCGCCATCCTCTGCAAAAAATACCATGTGCGCGCGCTCGTTTATCACAAACCATGAGTTTTCAGGCATCCCTTGCAACATGGGACGAAGTGCGCACGCGCGCGTCGTCGCGCGCGCATGTCGAAATCCTTTAAACGCATGTGGTTTCGGAAGAAACTCACAATCGAGTTTCCAACATACGGTTTCGCAACACGGGTTTCCAAAAATAACTTACGCGCGTTTTTGCTGCATCTTGAGAAAACCATTGTTGTTTTCAAGGTTTGCAGGAAACTGCTACCAAACAGGTTTCGGGCGCGCGCATGTCGAAATCATTCGAAAGCCCTTTGCGCGCATGCCGTCGAGAGAATCCTCTGGAAGAAAAAGGGACCTGATGCAGACGCGCGCGGCGTTGCGCGCGCATGCCGAAGTCCCTTCAAAAACCCTCGCTGTCGGACGGATTTCAAAATCGTGTGTCCAAACAACATACAAACACAAGGTCTGGCAACACGGATTTTCAACAAAAGTGTGCGCGCGCGTTCTTGCGTCGTCGTCGTCGCCGTCCTCCCTCTTCCCTCGTCGTCGTCGCCGTCGTCGTCCTCTGTCTTTCCTCGTCGTCGTCGTCGTCGTCGTCCTCTTTGACGTCATCGTCGTTTCTGTCGTCGTCGTCGCCGTGGTCGTCCTTCCTCCTCCTCCTCCTCCTCCTCCCTCGTCGTCGTCGTCGTCCGTCGTCGGCGTCTCGTCGTCGTCCCTCCTATTTCGTCGCCGTCTTCGTCGTCGTCGTCGTCGTCGTCTTCCCTCCTCCCTCGTCTTTGTCGTCGTCGGCGTCGCCATCCTCCCTCCTTCGTCGTTGGCGTCGTCGCCGTCCTCCCTCCTCCCTCGTTGTTGTCGTCGTTGTCGCCGTCATCGTCCTCCCTCCTCTCTCGTCGTCGTCGTCTTCGTTGGCGACGTCGTCGTCGTCGGCGTCGGCGTCGTCGTCGTCGTCTTCGTCGTCGTCGACGTCGGCGTCGGCGTCGTCGTCGCCGTCGTCGTCGTCGTCGTCGTCGTCGTCGGCGTCGCCGACGTCGTCGTCGTCTGAGTCGTCGTCGTCGTCGTCGTCGGCGTCGTCATCGTTGTTGTCGTCGTCGTCGTCGTCGTCGTCGTCGTCTTCCCTCCTCCCTCGTCTTTGTCGTCGTCGGCGTCGCCGTCCTCCCTTTTTCGTCGTTGGCGTCGTCGCCGTCCTCCCTCCTCCCTCGTTGTTGTCGTCGTTGTCGCCGTCATCGTCCTCCCTCCTCCCTCGTCGTCGTCGTCTTCGTTGGCGACGTCGTCGTCGACGTCGGCGTCGGCGTCGTCTTCGTCGTCGTCGGCGTCGGCGTCGGCGTCGTCGCCGCCGTCGTCGTCGTCGTCGTCGTCGTCGGCGTCGCCGACGTCGTCGTCGTCTGAGTCGCCGTCGTCGTCGTCGTCGTCGTCGTCGTCGTCGTCGTCTTCCCTCCTCCCTCGTCTTTGTCGTCGTCGGCGTCGCCGTCCTCCCTCCTTCGTCGTCGGCGTCGTCGCCGTCCTCCCTCCTCCCTCGTTGTTGTCGTCGTTGTCGCCGTCATCGTCCTCCCTCCTCCCTCGTCGTCGTCGTCTTCGTTGGCGACGTCGTCGTCGTCGGCGTCGGCGTCGTCGTCGTCTTCGTCGTCGTCGACGTCGGCGTCGGCGTTGTCGCCGCCGTCGTCGTCGTCGTCGTCGTCGTCGGCGTCGCCGACGTCGTCGTCGTCTGAGTCGCCGTCGTCGTCGTCGGCGTCGTCATCGTCGTCGTCGTCGTCGTTGGCGTCGGCGTCTTCGTCGTCGGCGTCGTCGTCGTCGTCGACGTCGTCGTCGACGTCGTCGTTGTCGTTGTCGTCGTCGTCGAAGTCGTCGCAGACGTCGTCGGTGTCGTCGTAGTCGTCGGCGTCGGCGTCGTCGACGTCGACGTCGGTGTCGTCGTCGGCGCCGGTGTCGTTGCCAAGTGCCATAGGTGCCTACCGTCATGGTCTTCAGAGGTTTTACAAACCAAGTTGCGGGTGGGTGGGTGGGATGTTTGCAAGAGCATGGGATGTGTCAAATCATGGGTAAAAATCAATTGCACCACATAGATTGCACACCATAAGATGCACAATGCTGATTGCACCCACGATTGCACCCCGTAGACTGCGCACCACATTCATCGCACCACAGATATCGCACGACATATGTTGCACAGCATGGATCGCGCAGTGTGGTTGCAGCGATCCGCCACGCGTTTCGATGGGAAATTCATATGTGATCGCGACCCTTCGTTCATTTCCCCTATCAATTCATACCATCCCAGGCCAGCCGGTATCGACCCCACCGCCATCCTCCGCAACAAATGCTATGCGCGCGCGCTCGTTTATCAAAAATCCGAAGTTTCCAAGAATCCTTTGCAACAAAAGGGACGAAGTGCGCACGCGCGCGTCGCGCATGCCCATGCCGGAATCCTTCAAAAACTGTTGGTTTCGGAAGGATTTCAAAATCGAGTGTGCAAAAAACATATTTGTTTAAGTAAAAAAGGGCACATGGGGTTCGCAACACGGGTTTTCAACAAAAGCGTGCGCGCGCTCTTGCGAATGCTTAAGACAACCATCAGTTTTTCAACATTGTCATAATCCTACCAAAAGGGGTTCACGCGCGCGCATGTCGAAATCGTTCGAACGCCCTTGCGCGCGTGCTGAGGGGGCACGATCCGGGTCAGATAATTCCATGCGAGCCACTCTCGCGCGTCTGCCGCGCGCGCATTTCAAATTCCTTCCAAAACCTTCATCACCGACGCGAAGACGCCGTCGTCGTCGCCGGCGTGATCAGCATCGGCGCCGTCACTCGCTGCCCCGTCGTCGCTGTCAGCATCGCCGCCAGCATCGCTACTATCATCATCGTGTCTGCCGTTGTCGACGTTGCCATGATACCGCGCCCGCCCAAGCCGCCGACTCGCACTGAAGTGCCCGCCGGGATGTGCCGAGCGGCACCGCGTTCGCGTCGGTCGCGCCAAACTAGCTGGCAGTTGCGCGCGCGAGCATGCGCGGGATAGCCCGGCTGCAGAGATGCACCAGCCGACACCCAACACTCATCGCAATCGCTTCCGCATGGGGCTTGGAAGCCAAGTTGCGTGTGGGTGGGTTGGATGTTTGCGCGAGCAGCTGAGTGGACACAAGATGAGAATTGATGAGTTGACCACATAGAATGCACCACATACATTGCACCACGTGAATTGTTCCACGAATGCGGTTCAGCTGATGTTGCACAACACACGCAAACATATATACATATATAATTATATATATTGATATAGATATATGCATACATCCATATATATATATCCATATATATATATATATATATATATATATATATAATGGTTAAATCTGTACACGCGCACATATCGACATGTATACTTGTTGCACAACACAGATTGCACCACGCAGGTTGTACCACATGGATTGCTCCACGTCGATCGCATCAATAATATTGTCAGAAATTCATTGTTCGGGATCCGCGCAGGCCAGCATTAAATATGGATAAAGGACAGTGTGTATGTGTCTCTCCCTCTCTCTGTGTCTCTCGCTCTGCCTCTCTCGTTGACACAGGCGGATGGCTTAAACGGAAAATCCAGGTACCAAGTGGTTCCCTAGGAACCAACCCTATGGCCCTGGTTGCGTTTCTTCTTCCCTTCACCTACTTTTCCTGTCTCTCTCTCTCTCTCTCTTTTGTTCTCTCTCTCTCTCTTTCTTTACATATGTATGTATGTGTGTATATATATATATATATATGTCTCTCTCTCTCTCTGTTTCCCTCTCTCTTTGTCTCTATGTCAACGAAGGACTGTCCAAACGGAAAGCGCGGGAACCCACGGACACCTTGGGAACCGACCTCGTTGCCCCAGCCGCTCCTCTCTTCCCTGTGGCTTTCCTTGCTGCACCTCTTCAGGGGCCCCGACGAGCCTTCGCGAGGGAAACGGACAATGGGGAACCTGAGTGGACCGCAATGTTCGCCTCCTCTCGCTTGCACTTCTCTTCCTCGCGAGTCATGTCAAACTGTGCTCCAAGAGGTCGGGGATCGTGGTATTTGTTGATTGTCTTGCATTGTGTGGCTCTCTCTCAGGCCTCGGGTGGCCCTGGTAGCCTTCCAGAGACCCCACAAACCTCCAGAAGATAATAAGTGTGTTGGCCAGAAGAGAGAGGCTCTGGATTTAGGGCTGGAATGCCCCCCCCCCCGAACCGCTCGTGTACCGGTCTGCTATCCCACGGGCTTCCCGACTGTAGAGAACCTACGCGCGTTGGGATGCGATGTGCGGTAGCGACTGGGAGTGCGACGTGCACAAGGTACTGCACGTGATGTAGTTCTGAGTGGTCGGCGCTCTGGACTCTTCCTCCAGGGGGGCGCCAACGGTACGGGGGACGGATGTTAAGGCCATCTGACCGCCCTCACGTGGTATGTGCCGGTCGCGCGCATGCATGCCCCCGAAGCCTTTTGAGATCCGTTGCAGGTGGAGCTCCTCACAATCTTGTTTTCGTTGAAGTTGTTGTTCCCAACGTCCGTCTTCCTGAATAGAGGGAACCACGAGGACAGGAGCATGAACGAGAGATACGGATTCAAGAACGTGCGCGGCTTAGCGCATTCAGGACTTTGCCTTGGCTTCACTGCGTGATCCAGGACAGCATGAGGAATCCAAGTGCCGAGAATGCGTGGCAGAAAAGCGCGAGAAGTGAGGGGATGAGGATGAGCAACGCGCGAGCCGATGAGCGACACGAGGGCGATCGGTCGGCCCGCCAGGCTGTTTGTGTATCCAGTGGACTGCCACGTGCGATGAACACCGCATTCTGATTTTGCTGAGCGGTTCGAGCAGCAACGCATCTGGTACGTTGGACAGCGCGTTTTACGTTGGACCACGCGTTTCACGCGCTTTTACCGAGCGGTTCAATGCAGTGTGCGTTGGAGACAAGGCATGTTGTTCCCCCCGCATATGTGGGGGGGGAGCAGCGGGTCCCAGCCCGTACGGAGATGCCGCAGCTCGTGCTCTACGGCTGGATCGTGTCGCTGCGACGCGGCGACGACTCTCACCACCCACCAACCCACCCCAACCCAACCCGAAGGCCCCGATTTGCCCTTCATTTCCAGTGGGGGGGGGGTCGGGGAACATGGAAAAACACACATGGAATCCGTACCCCCTCAAATCGAAATTCGGGTCTTCGGGGGTTGGGTCGGGGTGGTCTGGTAGGTAGTCAGACCCGGCGCGGGCGTTCAGGGTTGGTCCCCGCCCAGTGGCCTAGGATCGCCCGATACGGCACGACCCGGCAGCCCCAAGACCGCCGACCGTTCGGGGTGGAACGATCCGTGCGGTGGCAGAGCCCAGCGCCGAGGTCGCCATGGCCAGAACGTGCCTCACCGTACACACACAGGGAGGGGGAGGAGGAGGAGGAGACGGAGGAGGAGGAGGAGGAGGAGGAGGAGGAGGAGGAGGAGAAGGACGAGGACGAGGAGGAGGAGGAGGAGGAGAGGAGCAGGATGAGGAGGAGGAGGAGGAGGAGGAGACGAGGGAGGAGGAGGAGACGAGGACGAGGACGAGGAGGAGAGGAGGAGGAGGAGAGGAGGAGGAGGAGGAGGCACACACACACGCACGCACGCACGCACGCACGCACGCACGCACGCACGCACGCACGCACGCACGCACGCACGCACGCACGCACGCACGCACACACACGCACACACACACACACACATTCACACACACACACACACACACACTGCGCACACCGCACGTGGCGAGCCCAGGCCAGACCCGAATCAAGATGTGGCCGCGTGCCAGCTCGTGTCGAGGGCGTGTGTGCACGGGCACGTCTTCCCTCCATGCCTACACATTCGCGGCGTTGACCCAAGGAACCCTAGATAAGGAGCGGGGCTCCTTTGTCCCATAAGTTACACGTCGATCTCCCAGGGAAACCTCATGAAAACCTAGGGCAAGCTGTAGAACAATCAAGGAACACTGAGCCCCTCCCCAACGAACAGGGTTCCCTCTTCAGCGCCCCGACTGTATGGGGCTCTCCAGAAAGGGCCTCGTCTTCGAGGGATCGAGAGAAGTCAAGGTCTCTTCCCGGGCGGAAGGCCGACGGAAACCAGCCGAAGTAAAACGAGGGCGGTTTCGCTGGCGGAAGGCTGGCGGAAGGCTGGCGGAAGCCGGTAGAAGTAGAAGTTGCACCCCCAAGGGCTGCCAATTTTTTTCGATCCGTGATCTCGGAATCGCTCACGAGCCCATCGAGCGGGCCCCGCCTGCTCCGCGCGTGCGTCGGGCCGAGCTGGCTGCCAGCCTGCTGTGGCCAGGGCCCCGTGGGCGAGGTCGGCCGGCAGAGCCCGCGCCCGATGGACGAGGTCGCGCGCCAGCGTCGCTGCCCTGGGCGTGACCAGGGGCTGCGCCTCGCGGCTGGCCTCCCACGGGGGGGTCGGGCCGGGGCGGAGGGTGCGGCAAAGATCGGGCCGGACGAAAGGGGGGGATTGGGACTTCAGGGGGGGGTACGAAATTTGCGGCATGCAGCTGGTGTCGGCCTCACCGAGGGGCGGCCCATTCCTCGATACATAGCTCCATCCGGCGCCGGGAGGCGCCGGGAAAATCAGCTGCGTGAGCTGATTCTCAAACCCCCCCTTTGCTATCCCCCCCGTTCGCCCGACCCGAAAAGAGGAGGGGGGCCACCAGTGGGTCCACCATTTCGATTGAGGTTCGAGGTTTTGGGGGCGGGTTCGTCCGTGCTCCTATGCCTTCCTGCCTCGGGGTGCGTTCCGGCAGCCGCGCCTCGCCGAGAGCGTGCCACGGGGTACCCGAATCGTCCTGAGCGGCTGCTGGAGATTCTACGACCCTCGACAGAATTTGTTTCAAACAGGTGTCGCGCACTTTCCTTGTCGATGTGATGCTTTGAGTTTGGGTGACGTTGCGTGCAACGTACTTGTTGGCGCCCCCTCTTCACTGTCGGTCGTCGTGGAACTTCCTAGTCGCACCCGCCCAGACCAAGTTTTTGTTGTTCCTTCGACTTTGAAGGGGGCGACATCGACGGTGCGAACGTGGG